GAGAGAGAGAGAGAGAGAGAGAGAGAGAGAGAGAGAGAGAGAGAGAGAGAGAGAGAGAGAGAGAGAGAGAGACCAGTGCTGGGGATTGCTGGTGAGTCCCTCTGTGTGTGTGTGTGTGTGTTGGGGGAGGGGCGGGGTGGGGGTTAAGGGTGAGGGGTAACCAACCACTTCACGCGCCTCAATCGAGACCAAAATGATGCAGAGATGGTGGTGCGGAGAGGGGGGAGGGAGCGTGTAAGAAAAGGTGGTGCAGAGTTGTAGGGTGCAGATGGGGGTGCCGGGAGGGGAGGAGGGGGGTGTGGAGTTGTAAGGTCTGTTTTTTTGGATGGTGATCTAATTTCTTCATGATGAATTTGTAGTATTTTTGCAGCTCATTTTCATTTTACAATTTTTTTTTTTTTTTTTCATTTTACAATTTTTACTAAGATTCAGTTCGGGCATTCCTTTTATGCCTGTTTGTTTCCTTCACAAGTTCGTTTTCAAGATTAGGAGAAAGCAACTTTTTGATTTGATTTATTGTATGTAGCTTTTCTTTTTTTTGTAGGAGAAGGAGAAGGAAGGTTTCCTGATTGATTGACACTGAGGCTTTTGTCGACGGTAAGCTGAACCATGCATCGATGCAAGGAGAGGAAGTGCCAGGGAAGTATCGGATGAGCAAAAGGAAAGAAAGGCTGTGTTGTGCAGAGAGAGAGAGAGAAAAGGGTAGAGGAGAGACGATAGAACTGAAGGCTGGTGGGTTGTCCTGGCCTTGAGAGATTCAGCTATGGAAGGGGTTTCGCAACCACTTCCTCCTTTTTCTTGCGGATGCGAGCTAAAGAGCAGTCTGTGCTACATCACGTCCTTTGGACAGTGGAGGGCGTTATGTATGTATGGACTTTTGCTTGGTCAGAAAGCTATTTGATGTTAATGAGCGGTCGCATTCGGACTACTACTTTTTTTTTTTTTTTTTCGAACGACATTTAATTAAGATCCTGCAATGTATTTTCAGCCGGGTTCTGTCTGTGTCTCTTTTGCCCTTGTCTCTCTCGCTCTCTGTTTCTCTCTGTTTCTCTCTCTCTCTCTCTGTGTTTCTCTTTTTTTGCTCTCTTCTTCACTCCTTCCTATTTCAAAGCTAGGCAGAAAAAGGTTTGGGGGGAAAACGTTGTTTGCTGTTTACTTGTGAAAGATTGACATCAGCCCTTCAAGGTAGGTAGGTAGGTAGGTAGGTAGGGTTTCATCATTTATGATTTATTACTTTTTTTTTTTTTATACAGTTGTGAGCAAAAGCTGAGATTACGATGTTTGTGGAGAATGGAGTACTACTACCATGTGGTGGTGCTCCGATTCTCTGGCCCAATGTTGTGACGATTTTTTTTTTTTTGGTTTGTAGTTGTGGCCTGGGCTTGAGGCCTGGGGTGATTTCTGGCCACCCTTAGTCTGGCTTGTAGTGATTTCAACCTCAAAGTGAATCTGGTCGTTCTGTGCCTCTGCATTTCTTTTGTTCTTTCATTCCTTCCTTCTTTCTCTCTCTCTCTCTCTGTGTTTCTCTTTTTTTGCTCTCTTCGTCCTTCCTATTTCAAAGCTAGGCAGAAAAGTTTTTGCAGTCCCCAGAGAAGGTTTCTCCTTCCTCTGTGTTTATGCCATAGCTGAACACCCTCTTTGTTTCTCTTCTGCAGTTCCTTTGGTCCTTCATTCGTTATCTCTCTCTCTCTCTCTCTGTTTATGCCATAGCTTACCACCCTCTTTGTTTCTCTCTCTGTTTATGCCATAGCTGTTATGTTATTTGATGCTTGCCGCACGTAGGATAGGCGAATGCTCGACCCAAAAGCTTGCACACTTGAGTTCTCTTCATTGAGGCATGCCTGATCTGATCCTATCTGATCCGATCTGGTCTGGTCTGGTCTGATCTGGTCTGATCTGGTCTGATCTGGTCTGATCTGATGTGATCGGTCTCTCATAAGTGCTTGCTCCCCAGTAATCGTATTCTTTTCCTCTGTGCTTTTCGCCTGCGGCTGCTCGTCTTTTTTTTTTTTTTTTTTTTCCCCATTGTTCTTCTTCCCGACCTGCTCTTCCCCCCCCCCTCCCTTCTCTCCCTCTTTTTCTTTTTTAATTCAGCGAGTGGGGTCAGCCTATAGTCTTCGATGTGGGCCCGCAGATTTGTTGAAGTGGAACATGCGATGCTTTGTATTTTTCGTTGTTTTTTAATCCGTTTATTGAAATCGATTAATTTGTCTGCTAGTGCTCTCTTGCCGCCCCTCCCTTTTCACTGTTATATTTGACATTATGTGTATTGAAAATTTGGAAATCTATTTATGTTTCTGCTTTTTATTTTCCTTGCCCCTACCTTACCTTTCGCTGCGGCCTTTATGCTTCTACTTTTGCTTCCGACATCCATGTTTCTACTTTCACCCTTCTCCCGACGTGAGCTATTGCAATGTAGAAACATGAGCTATTGCAATGTAGAAACGTGAGCTATTGCAATGTAGAAACATGAGCTATTGCAATGTAGAAACGTGAGCTATTGCAATGTGGAAACGTCAGCTATTCCAAGATGATTCCGTCTCATCTGCTGCCGACTCGTGTTCCTCATAACGTCCTTCTCCGGCGGGTTGGTGAAGTGGCAACATTTTTAGTAACCTTTGATTTCTTTCTTTATCTTTTTTTTTTGTGGTTCTTTCCCCTCTTGCCCCCGTGTAGAAGCGCTTTTTTGTGGAGACATCTCGGTCTGGTGATATTAACTTTTGTCCCTGTTGATTTACTTGGGGCATGCTAACACCAGGACTTTCTCAAAGTCAATCTGGGCGGACAATTGGGTCACAGATGCACCCAGCAAGTCCCAGTGTGAGGAGCATGCCCTTAGGGTGCTCTTGCTGGTTCAGAGGTATCCTACCCCTTCGTTGGAGTTGCATTTCATTTCAACTGCAAATGTATGTGGCTGCTATTTTGACTGTGTTCATATCTGTCTGTTATTCAGATGCTGATGCGGATAAGGAGGAGGGGTGTTTTTGACAAAATAGTTTTCGTAGCGGCAGCTTTGTTTCTGGACCAGGTGGGGGAATAGACATTCTGTATGTTTGGAATCGCCAGCCTCGTTCATCAATATAGATCGCTGAAGCTCTCTGCTCTTCTCATTCATAGAAGTGCCCTGGCCCCTTTTCTCTAACACTCCTGATAATCCTATCCTATCCTATCCTTATCCTATCCTATGCTATCCTATCCTATGCTAGCCTATCCTATGCTATCTTATCCTTGCATAAGAGGGCGACGGCCTTTAGATATCATCACTGGGCTGACCGACCGAGAGGTACTTCAGAATGATTTTGATTGCATCTGGATTCGAGCTTGGGTCTGTATTTCAACAGTCCAGGGGGGGTGTACCAACTGAGCTAGGCCTATCTTATCCTCTGACCAAATGAAAAACGTGTGTGCGGACAATCAGTAGAGAAGCAAGTCATACATGTCGTCTTCATACATGCGCTGCGTCCCCTCAACGACTATACACGCCAGACATCCCTGCTTGGGATGATGATATAGTCTTGAACTTTTTCGGGACACAAATGCTATCCTATCCTGTCCTATGCTATCCTATCCTATCCTATCCTATGCTATCCTCTGATATCCTATCCTATCCTATCCTATCCTGTCCTATGCTATCCCCTATGCTATCCCCCATGCTATCCTATCCTATCCTATGCTATCCTCTGCTATGATATCCTATCCTGTTGATGTCATCTGTTATGTGTGTGACCCTTTCTTTGGATCCGTTTTTTATTCAATTGTTGGTCGCTTCTGATTTGGAGAATGTTTCCACTTCAGCTTAGTTCCAGCATCTGAAGGGATGTGATCCTTTACCTTCTTTCGAATGCCAGTTTTGATAAAAAAAAGGCTGAGGCATCCATATGCTCCTTCCTGTCGTTTTTTATGATATGTGTTTAGCTCCGGAGTGCCTTTACTGTGAGATATCAAAGTTGTAGAGCGCTTTGTTTCTGCTGTATGCGCATTTGTTTGCATCTTGAGATGAACGCATGGTTGGCAATCGTAGTGGGAACCACGGCTGCTCGTGGACGCACATCTCAGCAGACGTAACATAGTTGTGGGAGTAGTGGAACAGTGCTATGGATGCTGCAATTTCGAGAGATGCAGCAGACGCTGTCCGTGTTGTTGCGATGGACAGGGGAGATGGCTTCGCAAGAGAGGGAGGGGGAGGGGAGGGGGAGGACCCTATCGCGATGTGTGACGCTGTGGGCCGGAAAAGTAGTGGAAACAGTGCTATGGATGCCGCAGGCAGTAATGATTGGCCAGCCACTGCCGATGTTGCGATGGTTACGCGAGGCGACGACAACGACGAATTGCCGAGAGAGGGAGGAGAGGACCAGACCCATAGCCTTGTCAGCCGATGGATCCAACTGAAATTTGACCGGGAGCCGGAGTGTGTGTCATTTGTCTATCGACAATTCAGGCGAGGAGTGGAACAATCGACGCATTGCGGGGGCGCTTGTGTCAACGACAAAGTGATTCGACAAGCACCATGCAGGAACAACTTTTTGCGCGGAATTCGATGGTCCCCGGATGGTGCCTGCCTCCTGGCCAACTGCGAAGATAACAAATTACTCATTTACGATCTCCCTGATGAGATCGTCGAGTCCTGTGCTCTGGACTTGTCAGCATCAGATCTGAAGGACTCCTTCGATCCAACGGTCGTCGTACAGGAGGGTGAGAATGTATATGACTATCAGTGGTTCCCTCTGATGACGGCGTCGGATCTGGCGACGTGTTGCTTTGTTTCAACCACAAGAGAGCATCCTATACATTTGTGGGACGGCATCACAGGACAATTGCGAGGGACCTATCGTGCGTATGATGATAAAGACGAGATCTCTGCCGCATATAGTCTGGCATTTAATCTGGACGGCAACAAGCTGTTTGCTGGGTATGGCAAAATGCTACGGGTGTTTGACGTATGCCGTCCTGGGAGGCAAGACCGCGCCTTTTCGACGCGCACCAAGTCCAAGGAAGGCCAGGTTGGAATCATCTCCTGCTTGGCGGTGAATCCAGATCGATCAGGAATCCTCGCCGCAGGATCGTACGACCGATCGACGGCTCTGTATGTTGAAGACACCATGGAGTTGTTGTTCGTCTTACACGGACAGGTCGGAGGAGTAACCCATATCCAGTTTTCACGCGACGGCAATTACCTTTACACGGGTGGGAGGAAAGATCCCTACATTCTCTGCTGGGACATCAGGCAGACATCAGGCATAGTGTATTGCATGGAGAGGGTGACAGGCACGACCAATCAGAAGATGGTGTTTGACATCGAACCGTGTGGCCGCCATCTGGCGACCGGAGGAGAGGATGGGAAGATCAGATTGTTCGATCTTCAGGTGGGACAGCAGGTGAGCTCCTACAGGGGTGCAAACGACACAGTCAGTGGGGTTACTTTCCATCCTTGCCTCCCCGTCGTTGCGTCGTGTTCGGGCCAAAGACGGTTCAAATGCAGTGCAGAAGACGACGAGGATCGTAGAAGAGACGACCCGGGTGGTGGGATGTTTTGGGAGATTGATCAGCCAGTTGCTATCGGCACGTCGAGTCCAATGGAGAATTGTATTGCACTATGGCGTTTTCCGTTTTCATGGTATACTTTGGCAGAGCAACCGATGTTGCTGACGTAGGAGGGGTAGAAGAAAGGGGAACAGAGCTGGCTGTAGATGCGGCACGATGAGCTGCTGAACAGACATGATGACATAACCACCACCCCATCTTCTTCGGGCTTCGGGGCAAAGTGTTTGTTCTCCAACTAAATTATTATTACAAGTCGCTCGCTTGCCGACGACTTGCAGTCTGCAGTGTTCTTTATACTTCCCTCCCCCCGCCCCCCCCTCAAATGTTCTTTTTGACTTTATTATTATTATTATTATTATTATTATTATTATATTATATTATTATTATATCATTATTATTATTATATTATTATATTATTATTATTATTATATATTTTTGAAATTTGGACCGTTTCTCGATTTGCGTGACATCCTTGCGCAGGGGCCATGCTAATCTTCTCTGTATCGTTCCAATTTTAACGGATGTCCCGAAGGACAGTATTTTTATTTTATTTTATAACTAAGCTATATTCTTCTCTCAATTTCACCTTTCACTATCTACCTACCACCACTACTCCTAAGCCTATCCAGGGGACCCCTGCAAGCATAGCTACCTCTCACATTTAAACCACCAGTACATGGGCACCTGGGTCGCGGGTCTGTCACCTCAAATTCTGGAGGCGCGAAATGAAAACGGGGCGGCCGATCGAATTTATCAACGGTGGGCCCACCGTTTGACGCTTCGGGCTCTGAGTCGTTTTCTTGTGGCGACAAGTTTCGGACTGCAAGGCTGGGGCTGTGTACTTGTGGTTTAAGGGGATGCACGTTGGCCCCTGTGGGGGCGATTAACGCGAAGACCAAGCATTTTGCCAGTAGCTGCGCTTTCCATCGATGTCCCCAAGTCCCCATCGAGTAGCAGCAGTGGCGATGGCCAACACTCTCCCACACACCACACACAACCCAGTCACGCTCGCATTCACACTCACACCCGTGTTGGTCATATCGTAGACCCTACTAATACCAATGAGGGGTATGAAGCGGACTACCACAGTCGGTTGACACTAAGTGCGCCGCATGCGATCATGGGGCTCGAAGCCTCGAACCCCCTTTCTTTTTTCTTCGAAAAAGCCAGGACCGGACCTCCTCCTGAATGCCACTTTGCGTGCCAACCAACTGAGATAGGCCACTGGATAAATGTTTTTTCACTTTTTTGCTCCAGTACACCCTTTTATTTTTTGTTTCTTTTTTTAAAAAATGGACCGTTTCTCAATCTATGCGTATCATCCGTGCACAGGAGGGACCGTGTTAATCTTCTATTTCTCTGTACCGTTCCAGTTTTTAACGGATGTCCCAACCGACCCTGTACACCCTGCCTGACAAGTTTTTAAATTGCTGTTCTTCCCGCCTCTTTGTTTTCTCCCTGTTGCGCCCCCCCCCCCCCCCCCTCTCCCTCCCTGTTTGTTGCTCAGCAAGTGCTTTCCCCACTTCCATGTTTTTACCCTGTGGTCCTTTTCCGTCTTTCCTTGTTTCCTTGTCTGCTTCTTCCCCCGGTTCCGTCCTCTTCTTCCTTTAATTCCTGTTCTTCCTCTGCTCTTTCCCCTTCCCGATGGTTTGCCGGGCCTCGCTCAGTCCCCGTACACCCATGAATGGTTGGAAATTGAAATACAGACTCAAGTTCGATTTCAGATACTATCAGATGAACAGAATTAAATCATGGAAAAACTTTGAGTTTGAAAAAAAAAAAGCGTTTCAGTCACGATTCCGTGACCGTTGTGTCAAACCGAGGAAAATTGTGAATGTATACAACCCAGCTTTAGGGTCGGGTGGGGATGTGTTGTATTCGAGGGATGCCTGAACTTGATTTAAAACTGACATCGTTACAGCCGCCTAGGTACCCCTTACTTAATTCATTCTGATTTAGGGTCGGGTGGGGATGCGTTGTATTCGAGGGATGCCTGGGGCCGGTCAGTTCAACGTTGATATCTCAAGGACGTCGTCCTTAAAAAAAAAAAAGGCAAGACAAAATAGAAAAGAGTCATGCGTGCCAGTGATAAGCAACCGGACTGATTCCCCCCAGGGGAAAAAAAGAGGAAAGAAAAGAAAAGAAAAGTGATCACAGCTGAGGCTTTTCCTGTTGCTCTTTCTTGTGTTGCCAACTTGTCTCCCCTGTTCTCCTTGGAAAAGCAGCCTGTACTGTGAAAGCTTATAAATTGATTATAATCATATAATGTATGGCGTGAAAATTTGAGTGCATTATCATTGTCAGCTTTTGCAGTATGAACTTTTCCTCCTCTCCTTCTCCTCTCCTCCTCCCCCCCCCCCCCCTTCGTTCACTTCTCCTGCCCAGTTATGCTTCTGGCTGGAATTTGCACTGTGTTGATGTCAACAGAATTTTGAGGGAATCCTTGATGTTGAACAACTGCACAGAATAGCTTGTTTACTCCTAAAGACTTGCAGGGAAAAATAATAATAATAATAAAAAAAAGGCGGATTGGACATTACACAGTCGCATGGGTATAGAGCAGAATGGTGTATGGACTTTGTAAATTACAGAATTGCCATCCTGGCATGGTCCGGCAAAGGGATATTTCAATAATTGCCCATGGGTCTCATGTATTTTCTGCGCAAGCTTGGCGCCTGCCACCTACCTTCTTCGCCCCCCCCCAGTACGTCTGGTCATTATAGCTGTATTTGGGGGCATCTTTCAGTCCACATACAGCTATAATGACCCTACGGCGTACATTGTATTCGGGGGAAGAAGGTAGAGATAGGCCGTTGGTACCCGCGAGCAGCACCGAGGAGAGAGGTCCGATGTGCGTAGGGGGGGAGGCACAGCAACTGGCTCATCAAAGAAGCTCTGTTCTCATGCTACCGTGCTGACCCCTGGCCGATATCGCCCGCATGCAGGTTGCGTGCAGCGCCCACACGTTAAGATCATCCTTATATTTTCAAAAATCAAACTAAAACACTTCACTCGTTGGGATGAAGAGATATGCCAATATGCTACCTTCTTCCCCCGAATACAACGAACGGTCATTATAGCTGAATCTAGACTGAAAGATGCCTCAAATACAGATATAATAACCGTACGTTGTATTCGGGGGAAGAAGGTAGCCCAGAGGAGTCCATCCTTCGTAAATTACGAAATTGCCATCCTTCCCACCTAGCATGCACTTCTCAGTCCCTCTTTTCTCCAACCTTTAAACTGACAAAAAGTTCATCTGAAACTTAACTGACTTACCGGAAAATCAATTTTGCCGAGCGTACAAGCGGGACCGGTATGGGTCGGTGGGTCGGTGGAAATATCAATATCGTACACTGGTACCAATCTCTGTATTATTGAAAAGTCTGGACCTCACACTCACACAGACATGCTTCGGGACATTTTGGGGCTCGAACTCACTGTTCATATACGTCGCCCCAACGGCCCTGGGCCGAACTGCCCTGGGCCGAACGGCCCAACGGCGGTACTCTTATATGGAAACGGATGAACAGTAAACCTTGAAGGAAAAAGGGGAAAAAAAAAATAAATGAAAATAATGAATGAAAAAAATGAAAATATAAAATTAAAAAATGGATGGACTGGTTGTAATTAAATTGTAAGAGTCTAATTCTTATCCCTTGTGTCATCAGCATGACATCTGTTGTATCAAACTTGATCCAATTCCTAAATGCCATTTCGATCTCAGCCTCACTTCCCCTGTCACAGTCAAATTTATTTGGTGAGTTCTGATTTCTATTTCGATCAAGGGTCGTCAGTTACTGAAGGGTAAAAAAAAATGCGGTGGGGGTAATTCGACTGCAGTTACTGAAGGGTAAAAAAATCGTTACGGAAGAAAAGAACAAAGACAGTGAAGCTGCTACATTTTATTTACCAAATAAGGAAAGAGTCCTGCACTACGTCTACAGTTCAAAGGTGCCACGTTGTGTCCTCCCCCCTCCCCTTCCCCTTCCCAATTTGAGGAGTCTGTATTTGTTTTGTACACTACATGTTCTGTATGATAAGAAAATTAACCGGTGTAGAATTCTGTACATCCCATAAGTGCAGTTGCTACGTGCATTCGAGTATGAATGCCGCTATTGATGCCTCAACAGGAATATACACATGACATCACTACTGTTAGTGCATCGATGGATATTATGCAGGTAGTCTGTTTGTGGCAGGTAGGGAGAACCTGTTCTTTGTCCTTTCCCCTCTATCTGCACACACACACACACACACACACACACACACACACACACACACACACACACACACACAGAGAGAGAGAGAGAGAGAGAGAGAGAGAGAGNAGAGAGAGAGAGAGAGAGAGAGAGAGAGAGAGAGAGAGAGAGAGAGAGAGAGAGAGAGAGAGAGGTTGTTGCATAGTTTCATGGCATGCTATCTGAGCAACTTCTGTTGGTTTGATTTAGGTGAGAATTAGGGAGAGCAGTGGTTGCAGCAGTGTCTTTTAAATTCTGCAATTGACATGCAGTGGTTGCAGCAGTGTCTTTTAAATTCTGCAATTGACATGCTGCTTCGAGGGACATGGTCCCCGTTGCCTCCAGTGTCTCTTTGAATACTGTAATGAAACACATGAGTCACTGGCTCCAGTTTCCATATGTGCTGCTAATCAGGAACATAGATGGGGCCGTGATACATAGACGCCCCCAAATTATGAAAATGCTGCCTTCGTCGTTAAACTGACGGTTAACATGATGTTTGCTGCAAAGCCGGAACAAGAGGCATTTTAAGGACTCGGGACCGCCAGAGGTAGTTTGGATGCCCAAGAGCCAGAGGTACTGTGATTTGGGCAAACACGGAAGTGTGAGAATTTCATCTCAGCGGCTCATGCGGATGTTACATCCACGTCGGCAATGGTGTCCACGTCGGCAGTGCCTGCCAGGATCCGGGTAGTTGTTGTTGCGTATCAAGGGTCCAGGTCAGCTGAGGTGGCCACGCTGGCAAAATTCTTTGCCACGTCGGCCAAGTCGACCGCTTTGGGCAGAGACGCGGGAAGTTGGAGTTCTCGGATTGCTGACGTCAGCAGTACCAGTGAACAGCATGCCTTTGAGCATCTGCCATGTGGCATGCCGTCAATCTGATTGTTCCGGAAAGGGTGTGAAGGGTCGACGTGGCAGCGGCGCGCCGAGCTTTCGAAACTGGGCAGGGGGAAGAGGGGGGAATTTGGCGTAGAGACGAGGACAAAGCTTTGCGGTCAGACCTGGTTGTCTGATGGGCAGGCCACATGACAGCTGGGTGCAGTGCGGGGGCGGCGGAAGCAGAAGACGGGAGGTGGGAGCTTAAGACGACGATGCAATTGGCTTGCTTTGCGATGAAGGGTGAAACGACCATGCAGGAATCCGCGGCGCATCCTTCGTCCACATCAGTGATCGAGCGAGCCTATTCGGCATTGCTCGTTGATGTTGGGGGCACGCTTCTCGAGACTGCAGAGCCCGTGGAGGTCGCATATGCTCGTATCGGAGCGAAGTATGGTGTCCGTGTTTCAAAGGCGGAGATCAAGCAAGGTTTCAGGAAGGCGTTCTCGGAGCCATGGCAGCAACGGCTCCGCTTTGAGGGCAATGGGAAACCTTTTTGGCGTTATGCTGTAGCACTGGCCACCGGGTCTTCCGATGAGAGGCTGTTTGAAGAACTCTACCAGCATTATGCGAGCGTGCATGCTTGGAAGCTTGCGGATGGTGCGGCTGATGCACTTTTGCGGCTTCGCGCTTCTGGCGTGAAATTGGGTGTTGCGTCCAACTTTGACAGTAGGCTGAGACCTTTGCTTCAACAGCTTGGCATTCACGATGTGTTCGACACGATCATTGTGTCCTCAGAAATTGGTCACGAGAAGCCATCGCTGGAATTCTTTAGGAAAGCACTAGAGTGCCTGCACATTGAGAATCCCTCTACGGTTGTGCACGTCGGCGATGATCCTATTGCCGATAAGCAAGGGGCCAACAATGCAGGAATAGATTGCTGGTTGTGGAAGATAGATGTGCTGTCCTTTTCAGAGATTGCAGACAGAATACTTGGCCCCAAGAGAGGATCAGCAGTCATCATCTCTCCAGATACTTGAGTCCTGTGAGTGAGGCACACACAATTCACCTATTATTTCATGGAACGAGTTCTGTTTTGGTGATTACCTCATGCTGCACACCCACAGACAAACACACACACACACACACACACACACACACACACACACACACACACACACACACACACACAGGCAAAGAAGATAGAAGGGGACATGAGGGATATGTTGCTTGCTATAGAGGTTAAGCTGTCTCATTGTTGGGTTGGCTCACCTTTAGTGTGCTTCATTGTCTGCAATAGAGGTAAAAAGCTGCTTCGATTGTGCACCACCCCTGTTTGCTGCTATTTTTGGAATGATAGTGATTTTTTTTGTTTTTGTTTTTTTTGACCATTTAAATCAAGGGTCAGATTAGGAAAAAAAGTATTTGAAACTTCAGAAGTGCAGAGAGAGAGAGAGAGAGAGAGAGAGAGAGAGAGAGAGAGAGAGAGAGAGAGAGAGAGAGAGAGAGAGAGAGACCAGTGCTGGAGGGTGCTGGGGGTTGCTGGTGGGTTCCTGTGGCGCCGGGGGATCCTGCAGAAGGGTTGGGAGCGCTGATCAGGGAAAATTCTGTGCTGGTCGATTCGGTAGGTCGCTCTCGCCGTGTGAGTACCCCCCGCCCCCCGACCCAGCATCAAACAAAAAACAAAGCGGCCTAGCTCAGTTGGTAGAGCACTCAGTTGGCATTCAGGAGGTCGCGGATTCGGTTCCCCACGTCTTCCATTTGAATCCCCACGGCCTCCTCCGGCGCGCTGCAGCTTCACTTCCCCCCGCTGGGATAGTTCACTTCCCCCCGCTGGGATAGTTCACTTCCCCCCGCTATTCCTTTGTCCCTTCCATCCCTTGCCTGGGGTTAGGCTCATACTGTCAGGTAGGTAGCATGATGTATAATTGAGAGAAGAATATAGCTGAGTTTTTTTTGAAAATTTTCCCCTTTCTGTATTATATAAAGTTATAAACAAATCATTTTGGGCTGAAATGGACATTGTACCCACTTGAGGGACGTTGTTTTTCTTTTCTTTTCTTTTCTTTTCTTTTTTTCTTTTTTTTTGGGGGGTAACAACTGCTCCAGTCTTTGCATGGGGAGCAGCACGTGCTGCGAACCGGGCCCAGCGTCCCATCAGAATCTTACAACATATGAGTTACCCTTACGGTGGGCCTGATGGGACGCTGGGCCCGGTTCCCAGCACGTGCTGGTAATGGCCATATGGGAATCTTACAACATATGAGTTACCCTTACGGTGGGCCCGATGGGACGCTGGCCCGGGTTCCCAGCACGCTTAGCCGAAGCCGGGTAATGCCCCTATGGGAATCTTACAACATATGAGTTACCCTTACGGTGGGCCCGATGGGACGCTGGGCCCAGTTCCCAGCACGCTTAGCCGAAGCCGGGTATGGGAATCTGACAACATATGAGTTACCTGGGCCATTACCCGGCTTCGGCTAAGAATTCATGTACTAGAAATTCTCAGAAAAACTCGAGCAAAAATCATGACTCAGAGGGGCTATGGAAAAAGAACTCAAGCTTTCTATCCTTAGGAGACTTCAGCCCTGAACTAAACTGCCTTGAGGGGCATTTTTTTTTTTTTTTTAAAGCGGGCCCTGTGCCCAAGGCTGTGCATGTACAAGTCGTACAAAGTGACGCACCCAAAAAATGAATGTATACAAGCTATATTTGCGGCCAGATACAGCCAAAATAAGGGTGCGTTGTGTTCGGGGAAGACGGTAGTAATCCTTGACCTCCATCCTGGTTTGCCGACACATGGCCGCGTCACAATGCTCAACTGGTTTATCAGGACAGGTGATTGGATCCTGGCTACCAGACATTCTTCCAAATACCCTTGTTATTCAGACATTCTTCCAAATACCCTTCTTATTCCCCTACTCACTGCTCCGTTTCAGTCCAGTTAATTTGACATAATCTATACCTTCCCGGTTTCTCGCGCCCGCATCCCACATATCATTTGAATCCATGCTTTTGCGCGGTCCCCTTAACAATGCGCGTTTGTGAAGAGCTATCAGTGCTTCCGGGTCCTGCCAACTGTAACCTGTGGGAGCATTTGTTTTTTCCCCTTTTCGTTTCTCTTTTTTCCCTTTTTCTGTTCTTTTCTTTTCTTGAAGTTTTTTTTCCCCTCTATTTTTTGTTTCTTTTTTTCTATTTTCCTTCTTGTTTTTCCTTTTCCACGGCCGCAAGTTGGAAAATACATTCTGGTTTGTATTTTCCAACTTGCGGCCGTGGAAAAGGAAAAACAAGAAGTCCCCCTGTTTGGTCAGCGGCCCGAAATCATATTCCATTCCCATTTGGTCAGCGGCCCGAAATCATATTCCATTCCCATTTGGTCGGCCCAAAATCATATTCCATTCCCATTTGGTCGGCCCAAAATCATATTCCATTCCCGTTGACAAAATCCATGGACTGCCCAAGCGGGCTAGCTCAATTGGTTTGAGCACGGAAGTGGTTTGCAGGGGGTCGTGGGTTCGATTCCCCACGTCGACCATTCTATCCCCACAGCCTCCTGTGATGCGCTTTGGGTTCTCAAGCGGAGATAATTGGCTTGGGCCTCCTGGCTGGTTGGGAAGCGGCCAATTGTGCCTTCCAGCTCGCACCTGGTGTTAGAAGCTTGGGTGCTGCTCCCCACACAGAGTAGATGTGGCTTCTTAACTTAGGAGAGGTTTCCTGCCTTGGGCACGAAAAAAAAAAAAAAAACCCTTAGTGGATTGCTAAGCTGCGTGTAGGTAGGCTCGTATTATCTTGTTTACTAACCCACTCTCTAGACTCAATTATATCTGGAGAGAGAAGGAAGAAAGTCCATCTCTCATTTCTCAATCACAAGAGATGAAGATAAAAGTCCAAAAAACATCCTGAGGTTCGAATATGAGCCTCGTAATCTCGCTATGTGCTGGAACACCTCGGAAGGTATGAGGTACGAAGTCCTTCTTCGCTTAGATTTCTACGCGAATGCCATACATTGGGACAAGTAGGTTATCAGCAGGAAACCACAAAAAAGTACGGCCACTCGCCCTAGCCAGCGACCGCCGAGCTGTTTGGGATCCTCAGAGACTTCACGCGAGAATTCTCTCAATCAAACAAAAGAGCGCTCTTGCGCCTTCGGCCTTCCATACTTAGGGGGCGATTTTCCCTACTGGCGAAGCAGCCAGTGCTTTCCTGTTACCAGGTCTCTTTCGAGTTATGCAGGTCCTATGGGTCCTCCGACTTCCAGTAAAAAAATCATTCGACTGGATCTCCGACTTCCAGTGAAAAAATAATTCGACTAGATCTCGCCGGTATCACCTATAGGCTGTAGGGCTTCGAGATGTCGTTTAGTCGTCTGTCCCCAATACGATAGGTGATATGCCCACATGTAGTATTTCACCACTCCGACTAAGGACTTGCTGGTTTTGACCAACAGCAGGCAGAGGGCCCGAGGCCAATGTGCATTTGCATGCTTCACGAAGTGCACAAGACCGAAGGGCTGCAGGGTAGGCTTCCCCGAAAACGACCGCTCTTTGAGCCGCCTCATCTCGTATAAGCGCCAGGGGGCTTGTATCATAGCTCCAGGCACGAAGTGCAGCAAGACATGCTGGACACGAAGTGCAGACGCTTCACGTCTGCTCTTCGAGCCTCCATGAATGTGCTTTTATGGCATGCTTTGTTTCCTCTACTGTTGCCAGTTGATGGTAAGCCATATGCCCCTAGTGTGAAGTTCAGTCGCACAGTTTGATAACTATAGGTGACCTTACGGCCGCCCTCAAAACCACATTCAAAGTGTTCACTCAATCATAATGTACCTGGTCCAAAATCAGCAGCGAAGACCAAAGAATGGCATCATGCCATTCTTTCCAAGGCATGTGGCCTCCAATCCTGCGTGGGGTTGTGTGTCGAGGCAGTCGTTTTTCAAACTCGCGCAGCACTTTTGATAGACGCACCAGCAACTGACGTCCAAAGGCGCAGAGTTACTTCGTCACTCTCCGTGCCAATTAGGTTTGCATTCAGCACTTACGATCTCGACAGCTATGGCTGTGAGCTTCGTGTCCTGCAGGTGAGGTAGGCTATGTCTCCACCTACGCGGAGGTCTCCCCCACGACACAGTCTTATTTGTCACCACTGTCCCAGTTTTTTTTTTTTTTTTTTTTTTTTTTTTTTTTTTTTTTTTTTTTTTTTCCCCCCACTGTCCCAGTTATGAGGTGTGCTCTTCCACTTGCTGTGCCCAGCAATTGCTGCCAAATGAGAAGTCGAGAATTAGGTTTTCGTGGCTCACCTAGGCCCAGGGGGGATGGATCTCAGCATCAAGATTGCACCACCCAAGAGCTATGTGACATCCGCGGCCTAGGCCGTGGGCATTTCGGCCGCTGCGGCCAAGATTCTGGGCCGCGGCCGCGGTCGATGAGACCCAGTCCGCAGCCTGGTTTTTCAATATATTTTTTCCCCCCTAAAAATACGTAAAAAAAAAACTAAAAAAAAATGGGGGTGTAGGGCTTGAAAAACCCTACACTCCTATATTTTGTTTTTTGGAATCCGACTTTGTTTAAGATTTTTAAAAAATCAAGAACTAAAACGAAACAGTTTGTCACAGCCCCTCGTTTGTTGTCCTCTTCTCCCTCTCTGCCTACGGTTTACCGGGCAGTTCTATATATATATCGTCAAATAGAACTGCCTACGGTAAACCGTAGGCAGAGAGGGAGAAGGAGAAGAGGACAACAAACTAGGGGCTGTGACAAACTGTTTCGTCGGAGTTTCACCGACTCATCAGGAGGCTATATATATCGTCCCAAACAGAACTGCCCGGTAAAACCGTAGGCAGAGAGAGAGAAGAGGACAACAAAAGAGGGGCTGTGACAAACTGTTTCGTCGGAGTTCACCGACTCATCAGGAGGCTGAACCCTCAACAGTCTGCAGAATCCCCTCACTGATTACACTGTAAATGATAATCTACCTTAACCAAAATCAAAGTAGACTATCACTCACCCACACCAGATGGAAAACTCTACAGAC